GCTCTCTATTTCTTCCGTCTCTCTCTGTGTGTCCTTAATCTTTATTCTATATATTCCTTGGCTTTCTTTCTCTCTTTCTCTCTGGGTTACATCAGACACTCTGATTGCTACGGGTCATAAATCACACTGGCTAAAGCTGCTTTTAAAAAGAGCTTATATGTTCTCAGTAAAGGTGTCAGGTAGAGCTAAAGCTATTGAAGGTTTTTTTTTTTTTTTGTATTGAATACTGAAACGTATCGAATAAGCAGATTTTTCTACAGTATAGACAGGTGCATGTGGATCAGCCTTAGCTGGCTTTTCATTTCCTAACATCAATGACTCAATTAATCTAGGTCTAATAACATAGGCCTAGAAAAAGGCCTATGAGTGCTGAGTGCTTTCAACTGCAATTAGAGCTCAAATTATATGCTTTCTGGGCTATGACATGCTGGACAGGCTGTACACATACCACTGATTCTGGAAAATGGAGAAAAAATAGCCTACAGAAAAAAAGAAAATATATATATATACACACAGTTGAAGTCAAAATTATTAGCAAAATTATACAAATATTTCTCGAGTGCTGTTTAACAGTGAGATGATTTTTTAACACATTTTACACATAACAGTTTTAATTTATATAAGTAATTTCTTTTTTTCTATGACTATAGCACACAATATTTTAATAGTTATTTTCCAAAGTTCTAGTATTCAGGCTTAACTAGGTTAATTAGACTAAAGGTTCCATGAAGTGCTTTGAAATGTGCATTTTTTTTTTCGATGTTTGATGAAATCTCAACCAAAACTCGAAGAGAGGGTTGGACATAGGGTAGCTCCTCCCCTAGCATTTTGTTTTTGTCACAGCTCTGCCAGTGAGACTGGTTGATTTCAAATGCACCAATTGAAAAGCAACTGAGAAGCGTCTTGAAGGGGGCGGGTATGTCAGATACTAGAAAGCATTTGATTGGTCATGATTTGATAAGAATTTAAAGTTTGAGGTGACGAAAAAACTGTAAAAGGCAGAACTGACAAACAACAAGCTTTACAGGTTTATATTAGTTTTGTATCTCCTAAACATTAATTTTGTAACTGTTTTGGAGCACACTAGCTTATAGAGCTTAAAAACTAACAATACTACTAACATTTAAAAAGACACGTTAAACTAGGCACGTAATTGAAAAAGGCCTGCACGATTAATTGATTTTAAACCGAAATCACGATTTGAAAAGATGCGATTATCAATTCCATTATGACCTAGGCGAGGGAGGCAAGCGCGATTAATTAAAACAATCCAACTAACATTACTTAAAAAGCAGACAACTGCCACAGCAGAACCCACGAGCCTCTATTTTACTGCCATGGAGAAAATGACAGCTTTAAACTCCATCTCTGCTCAGCTTCTCTCTCTCTTTCTCTCTCTCTCTGTGTGTGTGTGTGTGTGTGTGTGGACCTTTGACCTGCTTGCGTGAGGTAACACACACACACACACACACACACACACACACACACACACGAGCATGTCTGCAGTGCGTGTTTTCTCGACCGCGTCTATCATGGATCAGCTGTGACATTAGTGCATTATAGACTGTAACGTTTATCTGTATTCATGACACTCATCGATGAATAACACCAGTGCCGTATAGACTGTCAGAGCCAATCATATCAATTTCTGTTGAGTGTGGAAACACTCAATGACCAATCACAGGTGTTTAAGAACACACTCGACAATGCTCAAAAAGCAAGCAGGGTAATATTTACATTTATTTATTTGCTATAAATGCTCATGACATTTTTTTTTTGTGTAATTGAGTTTTGTTTAAAACGTTCAAAATGAGTGTTTTCTTTAAGCAGGTTAAAGGTAAAGTACATAATATATCTGACTGCTTGTATATAAATGTATTTATAAATTATACGTTTTAATACAAGAATTCTTGTGCTGTGAAGTAAAATCTAAAATTGGGTTTTGGAAAGCATTGTCAGTGCATAAATGTCATGAAATTAATATGAAAAAAGTAACACAATCTAAACGCAAAAGTTTTAAAGGTTTTATATATTTATCCATAAAATTTTATATATAATTTGTTCAATTTAATTTTAAAGACTGTAGTTATTTTCTTAATTTGTCATTATAACTGGCAACTTTAAATAAACAGAAGCGACGACGTGGTGACGCAGTTGGTTAAGCCGTCACCTCACAGCAAGAAGGTCGCTGGTTCAAGCTTCAGCATTTCTATGTGGAGTTTGCATGTTCTCCTCGTGTTGGTGTGAGTTTCCTCCGGATGCTCCGGTTTTGAGTGTATATGGATGTTTCCCAGTGATGGGCTGCAGCTGGAATGGTATCCTCTGTGTAAAACATGAGCTGGATAAGTTGGCGGTTCATTCCCCTGTGGCGACCCCAGATTAATAAAGGGGCTAAGCCGAAAAGAAAATTAATAAATGAATAAACAGAAGCATAGTGTAGCGTACTTTTACCAAGTTTATGCTTAGTCTTTCTATGGTGCTGTTAAAATAACCACATCTAATAATATAGACCTTATAATAAAAATGTATCCAGAATAAAAACAAATATTACTGGAAATACTGTGTTAAATATCACCCACAAAATATATTTTTTTAAATAATAAAGACTTCACAGGAGGGCTAATTATTTTGCTTTCAACTGTATATTGAATGGTGAGTTATAATGTGAGGGCAGGGGTAGTAAGCATTTGTATTTAATAAAACACAACAGTGAAATGAATTATAATTCATTGTAATAAAAGGGACATAAATTATTTTGAGATTTACAAAACTGCTAATCACTGTTTGAAACAAATGACACATGAGCCAGCTTTTTCCCAGATCTCAAGAATCAGTGATGTATTGAAAATGACTGCAGAGCTCGATTTTCTTTAATGAATAGCTGAAGTAATCTGAGATGAGTCAATTGCTTTATTAATTGGGGAAAATCTAAAATCAGTATAGGGTGAGAAAGAAGTTATCACCAGCAATAATCAACAGCACTGTAAAATAATCAGTATTGATTCACTGGCCCTTGAGAGCAAGGCACTGAACCAGAGCCATAATTTGTATGTGAGACAGTGTAGGTGTCTGGGACACAGTGTACGTGAGTGTAGGAAGAGTTTGTGTGCTGGAAAGCGCATCACTGCAAAATGCCATGCATGAAGCTTTAAATAGCAGTTTGGCATCAGTTTAGGGATCAATTTTAAATTCAGTTTAACTTTTAAAGACTCTTGGAAACAGCTTGATGACTGCGGTTTTCTTCCTAGGATCGGAGGGAGAAAATATATACAAAAGGGTCAATACCCAATAGCCTTTATTCTGCTGTTATTGTTAGGAGAGAGCAAGACCCAAGGCTCGATTATTGAAAAAAGCATAATGGCCAACTTGGGTCAAGTAGGATTTGATAATAAACTGAATTACCACAGAAATTTTGTCAGACAGTCAATGCTTGTGAATAGCACAGAAATGTATGAGAAGGGGAGTAAACTGACTACTATCTCTTCCAAAATTGTCTGTGACTTCCCTGACAACTTAAATCTGTGATGAATGTTTAATAGAAAAATGTTGAAGGTTAGCGAACAGGCTGTCAATCCATTAAATGATAAGACATTCTCCAGTCTAAATGCAGTCGATGGTTGTCAAGCATCTCCTCCTTTGACAGCCAAATAAACAGTTTGTGGTGTGCTTCTTGCATACTTTTTAGTTGGAAACCTTCAAGGTTTGCTTTTGGTAAGGAAAGTAAATCTTAAACAACATTTCTTAAAACCTTTAGCTCACTTAGACAAAATCTTTGAGCAAAGAAAGTCCAAATTCTATCGTCAATAACATTAGCGAGGAAAGGCACAACACCACAGTCAGCTTTCTGTTGTTTACTGCTGACCACCTTGAAAATCAGCAACTTTTCCACCCTCACATGAAACTCCCAAGCAATACTGATTGGATTTCCTCTGCAAAATTTCACCAAGCATTCGCCAAAGCACCTTAAGGCATGCTCTAGAGTAATCCCTCTGGTTCTACTCAGCCCACTTCAAGCGAGATTCGAAATGACATTTTCGACATGCGAGGAGGGCATGCTAATAGGAATGCTAAAGACTGTAGCCTCTAGCATCTGCTACTCCGAATATCAAGAGGGTGAGGTTTACCAGTACGGCTCTTAAATGGTGGCCTTTGTTAAACTGACATCCATAACTCTTAATCCCATCCGGGTCACGGCACCAATTTAGCTCCTTTATTTCAACTCTGCTCACTCTGAGCAGGATTCATATCTGTTTTTAGCATGGAAGGTGGGTTTGCTAGCAAGGACACTATAAGACACTTAGCTGGCCTCTGTTAAACAAGTGTAACTCTGAGAGGGATTCAAACTGGTGTTTCTAGCATGGAAAGTGGGCAAGGATATTAAAGACCACAGTTGCTGTGTGCCTCTTGAGACCAATGGAGTGGGGTTTACAAGCAGAGCTCTTACTAGCTGGCCTCCATTACACTCACTTCCATCTAGGTCATGACACCAATATAACCCCAATATAACCTTTCCGTTTGTACTCGCCCTGCTCTGAGCAGGATTAGGCTTGTGCTCAAACGGAAACATTATTGACACAGCTTTTACTAGCTGGCCTATGTTACACTAACACATAGATTAGCCCCAAAAGCTGTCAGACAAACAATCACATGCTGGTTTGTAAATTTCAGATGTGTGTGTGTGTTTGTGAAATCATGTTACGCAACAGTATAAATAAATAAATGCACTAAGCACACAGGTAGAGTTGTACACTTTTGCAAATTATGTGTCAGAGTTTATTTTTACCCACATTGCTTTCCTGCTCAATGAAGGTCAGAGAAAGTGCCAACAACAGCTCGTTCTTGAGCGTGACTCAGCGCATAATGAAAGCCAAGGAGTGAATTATAAAACTGCTAAGAAGGACAAGATGGAGCAGTCAACCAATTAAGAGACCCTTCCATATGCTAGCTCATGGAAAAACACAAAAACCCACCAGCACTGCCATAAACACAGGCTTCCTTACCTGTGCCTCCTCTTTGTATGACCAATGTGGCCTCCGTCCCAATCGGACACTCTTTTAGCAGCTCCACCACTTGCGTGTGTGACAGTGTTAGCGCAGGTTGCTGGTTAATTTCCACAATCAGATCTCCCTCACACAGCCCCGGGCATCCTTGAGCCTCCAGAATCTGCTTCACTCTTTGCCCTCCATTACTGTCTGCTATGGTGAATCCAAACCCATCTGCCCCCTTCACCATGTTAATCGTTAGCAGCTCTCCTCCAGCCGCTCCAGACGACGCCATCGAGACGCTGTCCTCCAGTGGCCCGGCGTCCAGGTGGGTGTCTCCAGGGTGAGGCTGCACCATCGTTGTTTGAAGGGGGTCGACGAAACGGGCGGTGCGGGAGATGTACTCCATGTAGCTGTCGTAGCTATTCCGTCCGTTGACCAGCAGAGGGCGATCAATGAGGCCGAGGGGGGATAGTAAGGTGTTTGCTGCATCCTCTGGGTCATAAGGAAGAGGGTAACCCCTGCAAAGGACAAGGGTTACGCTTTGTCCAATTGGCACTGATTGGAATAGCTTTACAACATCAGCATGGGTGGTGCCCAGGACGCAGACGTCGTTGATATAGACGATCACATCTCCTAGAAACAATTACACACAAAGAAAGGTACATAAGCTCTGGTGGGTAGAGTATATTTGTGTGTGTGTCTGTGTTTGATTCAGTTTAAAAAAGTTAAATACAAGTGAGTTCTGTTTACAAACAGTGTTAATTTTGTTGATGCAAAATTTTCGTGACAAACAAGTTTCTAACAACAAAAACTAGACGAAAGTGATGATGACTACAACTATAATAAATATACTGACATTTTCATTGACTTATAAAAAAAGAGATGGGAACATGATTAAGGGATGTTTTTTTATAAATATATCAAATTAGAATTATTATTATCGCTGTAGTTTAGCTAAATAGGATAAAACTCATGCTAGGTTCACACGCTGTCTGCGTCTGTTGCGATCGACATGAAAACAGCTATTTATAATGTACCTGTGCCACAAAAAAATTTATTCAGGACGTCATTCAGTGATGTGATTATTTCTTATGTCTGTAAGGATATAATGATACTGTAGTACTATAATCTCTGCTTATCAGGTCGCATACAACACACAAGATAAAGAAACTGCCTTTTTTTTTTTTTACATACATCTTCACTTTCGATTTCCTCTATGTAAGTTAACAAAGCCATGGGATTGAGTGCACATTTCACAAGATAACACATTATCATTTGCCAGTCATATACGATTACTCTACTTATTTACGCAGTGCTATACAGCTGAGCACCATATACTGTGATAACAAATACAAAATTAAGCTTTCTATACACTGACATTGCAAAGTGGACTTAAATTATTTTAAGCACTTTTAAAGATTTGATGGCTTGAAACTGTTCAACATACTGGTTAAAAAGACTAGTAGTTTACCAAAAACCAAAATCACTACCTAGCTAATCACTACCTAAATTAGCTCAGCAACATGCTAATATCAAATTATGAATACATGTACAAGGTACATGTTTAGATTGTTAATACGTTACCATATGCAATTTTAAATTGTATTACACTTTACTATCTGCCTAATTGTTTGTTTTGTATATTTGGTGTGCTTATTAGAGTGACGTATATAGCAAGTGGCTAATGTTAGCTATCATTTGTCACTGTCTGCTCTATTATTTCTGTATATGGCATATTGTGTTAATGAGGGTGTTAATTCATTAGTTTAGCAAAATGCTAATGTCAGTCTATTAATTTGGACTATGTAGTTGTTTTTTTGTGCTTAGAGTATATGAATGTTAAGTCATTAACTTATTAGCATGCTAATCTCAACTCTTCATTTTAAATTCTGCTTTATTATGTGTGTGTGTGTTTGTGTTCTGTGTTGTGTTCTGAGTCATTAGCCATTTACAATATGCTATTGTGAAACTTGACTATACTGTATGATCCAACATCTCCTCTGTGCAAAAATGCTAATGCAAACTCAGCAAAATGCTAATGCAAAATGATCTATTTTGACTGTTTTTTTCATTAACTGTTATATGAAACGATCCAAATAATTTCAGTAACTTTTTTTTTAAGTGTATCCTAATTTTAGCTAATTTTTGTTGATATCTCATTAAGACTGTACAGAATTGTTTCCAAGTTTCATTGAATACCATTAACACTCCTTCAAGTATATGTTTTGTCAAGACGAGTGCTCTTCGGTACTTCACATAAGAAGCACCATTTGTATGGCTCGCTGACTGCTCAGAATATTCCAAATCAATCGTTTTGCTCACCGTAAAGCCACCAGACAGCAAACAGCTGGCTAGGTTTTGGAACAAAGTTACTGAGGGGAATGAAAAAGCCCAATAAGAATAGTCTCTAATCAGAGTGAAAAACTTTCCCCAGTTTACAACGATTTCAGTCATCCAATATTTATTCATGTCGTCTCCCCTGGCAACTGTGACAATTACAGCGCACCAATTTGAGGGACCCACTCAATCCTTTTCCCAATCCTAAAGTATCACCCTGCCACAGGATTTAACCGAGATCTTCACTTTCCTTTTTTAGCATTCCTTCCAATGTGTGTTCACTAATGTTGAGGGAAATGCATTACTATTAAAAGTTCTGCAAATATTATACTTGTTACAATCTCAGTAATGCATGTTACAGTGAGATTTAAGTCCAAAATTAGGTGGTGTTAGGTTCATCAACACAAGCTGAAATCCAACATAAAGTATTCTAACAATTGGCAATAAACAAGAAGATCTTGTTTATTTAAATAGCGTTTTGGTGAAGAGGAGATTAACTTAACTTTAAGTAAAAAGTTGGCTGAAACTTTTTTGGCAGAAATCTATTAACTTAATAAAGAAAATTTACATTTAGTTTAAGTAAACGTGTTAAATGTAGTACAGACGTTTTTACTGATTATTGAAAAAAAAAAGTAATTTGAACTTTTTTCAAGTTGCACTTTTTACAGTAAGTTTGAGGCCTAATTTCTGCTTTGCTGACAGCATGGTTGAATGTTTTGAAAGGGTATATATAAGAAATCCATTTATTATGGAAGCTGAATGGTTCCAGCAAACCTGGTGAATGTTTTATGTGGGCTAAATGAGATCACAGGGCCTCAAACAGTGTTACTGGTTTCCTGGAGACATTTCATGCAGTGCCGTTCGCACCTATCGATAAGTCTTGTCCCCCCCTGACTGTTGTGTGTTGTGTGCAGGAATTTTAATTAATCTCTGTAAATACGTTCGACATTTGCCTAGAGCCTCTGGTGTTTCGATCAATAATTTCACATGCTTCCAGATAGCAAATGATATCGGTGTGACCTCCCTGTTTCACACCTAACTTTATGTCAGCATCAATCTGGGCTGAAGCTCCACAGGGTAAACCGGATCAGGACACTAATACAAACAAGGCATTATCATCCACTTAAAATTCCAAACTTACTTCTATAGTCTCAGGGATATTTTCAAAAGCTCTCAGATTAAAGCTTGGAAAAATGAATATGAAACAGTATTTTGTCATATCCCTGCTATTTTCTGCTTTAGCGTGTGCTTATGAAGGATGACGTTGGGTAATAGGAACCAGCATAAGTGTAAACAAAGTTAAAACTACTGTAGGTCTGGGTTATGTTTAATACACTTTTGTGCCTAGTATAATAAAACAGGGATGCACCAAATATTCGCCCATGGAAATTTTTCAGCCAAAAATATCCCAAAAGTGCAATTGTGGTTTCGGCTGAAAGATTTTTATCACAGAAACAACGCAGCCACGGCCATACTGTTTTGACTTAAGCAACTATACATGTCAGCTTGTAGCCATATCTCTGCTAGATAGTTTTAGAAAAAAAATTAACAAGAATGTTAATTTATGCTCTGGCCCTAAATAAATACACTCTCTCTAATGTCAATCAGACAACAAACTCAACAGCTAAATGGTTATCTGTCTAAAGTCCCCATCCCCATCACTTATTCCGCTTCTTCCAAGTGAGACATTTTATACAGAAGCAGTTTCCACATTTCCCCAACTGCCCCCCTGAAACGCATATAGATAATTTCCTCAATTTGAATGCCACTCATAAACATTTGATTTCGGTTATTTATCATTTAATAAATTCAATCAATTCTGATCCTACTGATACATTTTAAGATAATTGGGAGCGAGATCTAGGAATTACTATGACAGAGGATTTATGGCATAACATTTTAGCCCGAGTGCATTCCTCTTCATTTTGTGCTAGGCATGGTTTGATGCAGTGTAAAATATTATTTAGACCCCCCTAACCAATGCTCAGTAGGCTAATTTCTTTCCAGATAAGAGGTCTGCTTGTAATCGTTGCAAATATTCACCTGCTTACCATCTGCATATGTTCTGGACATGTCCACAGTTGGCCACCTTTTTTCAGGTGTTTTTAATACATTTAAAAAAGCCCTTAAAATCAATATAGAACCTGATCATTTGTTAGCCCTCTTTGGTGTATCCCTTGAACCTAATTTGACTGTTCATGACAGCAAGGTTCTTGCCTTTACCACAATTCTAGCCAGACGTGCCATACTTTTAAAATGGAAACAGAAATGCCAACTGACCCAGCCGGGACTGGCCAGCAACCTTCTTGCTGTGCTAAATAAATATTTTCAAAATTTAAAATGTATGTATTCTTTAAAATGTAATATTAGTTTATGCAATTGCAATGCCTTGATTAAGTACACATTCATAAGCATAAAAGCAATGGTAATAATAATTGCCATACGCCCTGGGATTCACCCAGAAAACAGTGAATTTTCTGGCAGAAATCCCTCTCCACATCAAAGTTCTTCAAGGTGAAGAAGATCAATATGCTTCAGAATTGGCCAGCCCAGTCACTAGACATGAACATTATCGAGCATTTGTGAGGTAGGATGAAAGAGGAAACATGGAAAACGAAAACAAAGAATTTTGAACTCTGGGAGGTATGCATGACTGCTTTTCTTTGAAGCTCATGGAAGTCATACAAGATATTAAATTTGGATCTCACAGTACCACTACTTAATTTGCTGACATATTTTTGTATTTACAGTAAATTTGTTCAAGTTATGCATAGATGACAAAATATTAGTCCTGCCAAAATGTGACCTTTCTGTCTTGATTAAATAATACATATTTTTTTCAGTGAAAGTAATTTATTTCAGTTTATTAAACATCATTTGAGAGTGTTTTAACTTTTCACGTGAGCTATTTCTAACACCAACTGGTACATTAAAAGTCAGGTTAATAGCAGCCGTTTCTACAAACTAGATTCAAATGCAACAAGACTTTTGTCAGGGCCTGTATTTATATGTTTCTTAATCTGTAGCTTTTTATATATCTATAAACTTGTTTATTAATATTGAACATGTTATATGTTATATGATAGTTTCATTCTTCTATTTTATACTTGTATAACTTTATAATTCTTATTATTATCCTTATACTTTAGCTATAACACCCACCCAGCCATAGCTGAGGAACGCACACACATTCAGCTATCTTTCAGGGGACCTCCTATAGATGTAATGATGTTTATACTGTACAAATTATATTCTATTTCCTTACCCCAATCCTCACAGCAAACAATCTGCATTTTTACATTTTCAAAATACTTCATTCTGTGTGATTCATGAGCAATTTTCTTCAATGGGTACCAAAAAGTCCTCACAAACATACTGGTGTTGCTATACATGTGGGGACATTTGGTACCCACAACATAGGAAGTACAAGAAACCCACACCTCTGAATTGCAGTGTTGTTCTAAAGAGCCAAAGTACAACTAATGACAGCAAGAGAGTATAAGAGATGCTTTGGGAAGCAGCGTCTGAGACATCTAATGTTGAAACCCAGAGGATCCCTGCTCTGTGACTGGCATTCAAAACAAACACAATCAATACACAATCCCCTAAACAGCGCTGCCAAGCTGCAACACACATCCTACACAAATGAAGCTCTAAACCTCCAATGCAGAGATCCAGCACACTCCTGCACCTGATTCAACTCATTATCTGCTTGTTAAGTTCTTTATGGGCACAGCTGTGAGGGGCAGAGCAAACATCAGCGCCACAGACTGGCATCTATAGTGGGCGTGGATGGGAAGGATGGCAGGACTTTAAGATGTGGGAAGTGAAGCATATCACGTAGCAAATCCCAGCTCTCTGTACAATCGTTTTCAATTAGCAAGGAAGCCGGTAAGTGGAATACATGTCATGTTTATGTCACTTTAAAGTTAACTTATGGATAAGATGATAAATAAATGTATATGTGGTAGACCGTTGCGTTCGCAGGTGTGTGTGTGTGTGTGTGTGTGTGTGTGTGTGTGTGTGTGTGTGTGTGTCTCTCTCTCTCACTAACTCTCTCTCACTCTTTTCCTCTGCACAGGCCCTGCCCCAGTTACGCAGATGACTTGCCCTGGGATTGGCTTGTCAAAAACAAGAAATGGTCGTGGAGCAGGAGAGAGAGTTAACTGGCCTATGGTTTGGCATTGTAGAAAAAATATAATACTGTACTTTGCATAAGTACGGTGAGAAGCAGTTGGGGTTGGATGCCACACTTTTCTTTCCTGTAAATATTTTCACATGTTTTTATATATAGTTAGGGAGATAGGAATAGTTTTTGCATTTTTATTTCTGTTATAATGTTAGGTGTATTTAGTTTCATTTGCGTGTTTAGGTAGGGGATATATTTTTGTTTATTATTTTTCTGTGGGTCCTCTCTGAGGTATTTGGCTTCACATTTTGGTTGTGAAGCCACAACCAAAAAGAAAAAGACAAAAAAAAGACTAATAAATGGACCTGCCTCTTCTTTAAACTGATTTTTATTTGTCCAGTGTTTTTTTAATGTTACATCGTAACATAAAGTGAGGGCTTGTCCTTTGTTTTTATACATCAAAAACATATTTCTTGAACCCTTTTTGTGGATGCGCAGTGGGTAAGTAATTTCAATTTATTTTTGTTTGGCTGCTTTATTTTTGGTGTGGGAGTGAGTAGCAAATAGTGTTAACATGGAGATTTTAACATGGAGTGCTAACATGATTCGACTGCCTTTGCACTTTCTCCAAGAACTGAACAGTTTGATCGCTGACGTAAAGATTACTTGTTTACACAAGCCTAAAATGTGGAATCGCTTTACTTTTGGAATTCTGGAGTGTGACTTGCAAATCATTATTGAGTATAAGAAGAAACACATTAATTGTTGGGAAAATATAATGTGCGTAATGGTGGACATTTAAAAGCATCAGTTATTTCTATGTTATAGTTGATGCCTGTTTATATAAAAAACATATTGTGTGTTCACAAGGAACTTCTACATGCATACAAAAACGTTTATATAGGCACATTTTTCTCTTGTTTCTCATGCACACCCCAACGTTTCTTGTGAGCATACAATACCCCAGCAGGTACAGGACGTTAACACGACATCAAATTGATGTTGTACCCCAACGTCGTGGTACGTTGTACTTTGATGAAAATTGGGTTGACGTCAGAACCAAATGTCAGGCCAACGTCATTGTCCAACTTCCAAACTAATTTGAACCAAATACCAATGTCTAATGATGTTACAACTTGACGTTGTGTGGACATTACCAATATGATGACATCTGTCAGGTGATAGATTTTGGTTAACATACAAATACAGACAAGTAAATGTCAGTATTTGATGTCAATATGACGTTGGTTAAAGATGTTGGCTCGATGTTGCATTTTGGTCATTTTCCAATACAACCTAAAACTGACCAGATATCAATGTCAACTGATGTCGTTATTGTTTGTCAAAAAAAACATTATCCTTAGACACTGACTAGACATTGAATTTTGGTCACCTGATGTCACAACCTAAATCTAATCTAATATTAACATCTTATGAGGTTGTGTTCCTGCTAGGATGTTCCTCGTGAGCATGCGAAAGGCTTTTTTTCTCTTTGCAAATGTCCCTTTAGGGGCTCGGTACATTTCAGACCATACAAATATAAAACTGTTTTTGATAAATATTAAAAATTTACAAGGCAACGCTGTAGCACAGTGGGTAGCGATGTCACCTCACAGCAAAAAGGTTGCTGGTTCGAGGCCTCGGCTGGGTCAATTAGCATTTCTGTGTGGAGTTTGCATATTCGCTTGAGTTTTCTCTTGAGTAAGCTAAAATTGTCTTTAGTGTATGAGTGTGTATGGGTGTTTCCCAGTGATGGGTTGGAGCTGGAAGGGCATCTGTTGCGTAAAACATATGCTGGATAAATTGGCGGTTCATTCAGCTGTTGTGACCACAGATTAATAAAAGGGACTAAGCCGAAAAGAAAATGAATGAATGAATTGAATTTTAAATTTCACAGATTACAGATGCTTTTATGCAAAAGGAAACTTGTACTCCAGAGTGTTGTGAATGCACTCAGGACCATCTGCTGAGACTGTGAATCAAATAAGACCTCGATATATTGTCAGGAGCCACGGATGTTAACTTTGTTTTGCCTGCATGTTTTTGTTTTTTACTCTAAGTGTAGCAGAAGCCATTGACTTGCATTAAATAAATGGCCAAGAGCCACCGTATCAGCTAAATTATTCTACTTAAGAAAAAAACTCACTTGGAGGCCTGAGAGTGAGTAAATGATGTACAAATACTTTTTTGGTGTGCTTTCTCTTTAAAACTGTGAAATGCAGGGTGATTCATTAATATTTTAGTCAGAATTTTATCAACAATTTAAAGTACATTAGCATACAGATTAGCCTCAAAGCTAACATACATGCGCATACACCCAAATTTTAAGAGCGGTTTTCTCTCTAAGCTCTCTAATCCAAGCAGAATTGAATATTTCACACTGGTGTACATCTGAAGCTTCTCCACAGAACTGTATGACTGTGTTACTGCAAAACAGCTCAAGTAGGACAAGAAGTCCAGAGGGAGCGTGAAGGGTGGATGAGAGGAGCAGAAAGCAGAGGTAAGGAGCACGGAGGATAATTTCCACAACTACCAACAACAATAATACAATAAAGTGGCATCATGGGAGATGTATTGACTATATTCTGAACTCTGCACTGTGGGTCCCTCTGAACATATGAGATATTTCAATGCTGATGTATGTGTGTGTGTGTGTGTGTGTGTGTGTGTGTGTGTGTGTGTGTGTGTGTGTAAAGCTGCCGCAGTCACACTCCCACTAGGCTGGACTGATGCTACAGAGTTCATAAAGCCCCACTGTGATTAATGGACACATGCCCTGCTGTGGATGACACACAAAGCCAATAAATACACTGTCCGTAAATGCACTTAACCCCTGGATGTCCCTAACGCGCTATCAACCAATAAAATGTCAGATTCACACTGCGACCTCTGCAGTAGTGTGGGCACAACCACAGATTGAGAGAGACTGAGCAGCTGGGAGCTCTGTTTGAGTGAGAATAGCACATTAGCACCGTTCAAACATTGAGTCTGGGTGTACTGTATTTACCTGTAGCCATTTTGCCATCCTGTGCTGCAGGCCCGTCCGGTATGACACTTTTGACCTGTAGAAACTCATCTGGTTCATCACCGCCAATGATAGTGAAGCCAAATCCCATGTTGCTTTTCTGCAGAGGTGTAGACAGAAAGCTGCCTTTCAGTTGCGTGGGGTCCCTCGTGAACAGAGGCTTCTCTGCCAAGGTGAAGAAATGCAGATACAAACATGAGATTGCAACCCAGGAGAAGACATCCAGAAATTAACGGGTTACTTTGTAAAAGCCACTCCAAACCCATCAAAAGCAGCAGATCACATCACACTGGGGAATTGTGGGTAGAAGGCCAAGCGCTTTGCTTACAGCCAAACATACAAGAGCAGAGAGGAACATGATGGCTTGTTTTTTTTTTTTTTTTTGCTCAAACCTCACTTTTGGCTCTTTAAACGTATCCTAATGTTACACTCAACAGTGTTGAGCCTCGTCCAGGGCCGTCTCTTAAGACAGACAAGACTTAAGCAAAAAAAAAAAAAAAGCCAGGAGAAGAACCAGCACAGGCAGAGCGATTCTTCTGCTCTCTCAGAGCAGTCTCGAAAACCGTTCTGGAGAAGCAATTTACTGTAATTGCACACCATCAAGGACCTTTGTACTAAAGAGTCGCTTCTTCACAACTGAAGAGAAGCCTACTTCAGTACACAGTATGGACTTACGAGATGCATAGTCACTCCATCTCATTTCCTTGGTTGAGAGCTTCTCAAGTCTTTTTTTTAAGTTTCTTAAGTCCTTCTACAGTTTCTGCCATGCGTTTATTAGGGGAAATAGCTGGTTCAGATATCCTGCTGAATGACCAGCATGAACTTCCATGCTGATCCATACTTGTTTGGTGCTGGTTTAGCTGGTGAACAACCACCAACAAACAGAAGCTGGTGCTGCTGGTTGACCAGCATAGGCCTTGTTTGTTAAAATAGGGCAAACGGGTAATGGGGAACCGTAAAGTTTGTTGGTTGTCTGGATGGTCTTTCAGCCGACAGAATAGGACATGCACAACCTGTTAAACCTTTGTTAGCTGAAATATTTCTAATGCCAAAAAGTATGAGTGGGACATTTTTGAGTGAATTTAGGTTGATTGAATCATATAAAGCAGGTGTAATTTTGCTTTTATACAGGGCCATATGTTATTGTGAAATGTTTGAATGTTTAAGTTTGTGAAACTTTTACTGTGTGTACAGTCAATAAGCACAGACCCACATTTAAACAAAAAAAAAGTTAGACAAAGTGGCTAGTCCAGGACTATGCAAATTTGAACCTAGAGTACCACAGCCCTGCAACGTTTTGATCCAACCTTCATAAGAACTGGTCGCATTCTACTAGCCCTTAGTTGACGACTTAGGGTCATTTACCCACAAACTAAAATTCTGTCATTAATTACTTACCCTTATGCCGTTCCAATTCTCTAAGACCTTCATTGGATAGAAATATCCCAAGAAAGACACTTTGTAAAAACATTTAATATCAGTTCAGAGGTTCAACTGTAATAATACAAAGCTCCAAGAACACATATTGATGCCAAAAAACTGTAATAAAACAAATGTCACCAATGTCTTCAATATAAGATGAGGCTTTGCATCGGCAATATGCTTCTGCGTCATACTGCCCATAGTAACCATGCACCAAAATAAACTGACGTGGAAGAGAAGATATAGGATAACAGAGTCATATTTACAATTTTTGGTGCATAAAAGTTTTCTTGGAGCTTTGTATAATTAAAGATGAATCTCTGAGGTCACATGGAATGTTTTGACAAAGGTTTCTTTTCTTGACCTCTGAATATCTCAGGACCATTGCTGTCTCTGGAGGATGAGGGAGTTTGCATTTGATCAAAAAGTTCTTAATTTGTATTCTGAAGGTGAATTAATGGATCTGTGAGAATTGGAACAACATGAGGGTGAGTAATGAAAACAGATTTTTCACTTTTGGGTAAACTAACCGTTTAATCACTGATTAGCTTGTTTAGGCATGTTTGATTAAGGCTGAAGAAAAACAATGAAAAGCTGTGGCTCACTAGGGCCAAACTTGACTCTACCTGAAATAATCTAACTTTCTGATTACCAATTGTCAACTTGGACGTTGAATTACTTGATGACCATTCTCAATGAGATGAGCAAGCTTGAGAAAACAATATATGTTGTAAACCAGCACCTCAAACAGATATGCTGGTCCATTCAGCAGGGTAGGTGTACTCATGCGTATCCTGAAAGCGCAGGCAAAAAGTAAAATACAAAACCAAAAAAATAAAAAGCCAACAAAAAGTCTCCACTGGTTTACAAATTGAAAGAGTTTCATAGAGGACTATGTAAAAACAGGCCAGACGAAAAGAGTCCTGCTGTAGTTCCTCCCTTACAGAAGGGGGTGCTGGTCTAGGACGTACCATGCAGTCCAAATACCCCGGCCCGGTACAGGGGGGCCTCGGACAGGTCAGTGAGACTGTGAGAGCGTTCGGGAGCAGGACCCACATATGCCAGTCTGGCCCTGGGTAAAGTTGCAGAGGAGGGGCTCTCCTCCACTGTTGCAGAGAAGAAAAACCCTCAACTCACACAGAAAAATGCAATGGCATAAAAAGATACAAGGCTGGGCTACTGTGAACATAAAAAGAGATACATTTCAACATCCTTGTTGGTCCAGGAACAACACTCCCAACAATTCGATTTAAGACTTAGATTTAGTGCTGGGGTTGTAGCCTCAACTCACAGAAGAAATCGATAAATGGCATTGAAGGATACAAAGTTGGCCTTGTATGGACATAAAACAGTAACATTTTGAGAGGAAAAATAAGGTGATATTTGCTAGGTTGAACCTTCTTGTTAGTTCTGAAAGAAGGTTTCCAAAGGGTTAGGTTGGGGTTGAAGCTTCAAGAGTGTTATTATCCTGACATTTTCCTCTGGTTTTAGGGATAGTTGTAGTAGGTTGTTATTAGGAATAGGGTTAGTCCTACTATACAAAATGTCCTACTTGGCCAATTGCAGTCTGCACAAAAAGTTGATCCAGTAATGATGGACAAGGATTTGATATAAAATACAGGAGTACACTCTGAATTGGTTAAGGATTAACATCTGATCATACAGATCAAGCAAAGTCTGTGTCTGTGAACTTTTTTTTGACTTGGGGTCTAGCGAAGATGTGAACCTTAATTCTACAACAGACAATATTTACAGTACACTGCTGCTGGATTTTTAGGAGGTCTCTTTGTGCTTGTATATTATATTAATGATTCTGATATGGAACTAGTTCAATGTTTCTCAACCACGTTCCCAGAGAACCATCAACACTACATGTTTTGGATGTATCCTTTGTCTGTCCTATTCATTACAGGTCTTTCAGTCACTGGTAAATGAGCTGATGATCTGAATAAGGTGTGTTTGGTTAAAAAGACATGGAAAATGTGCTGGTGGTCCACCAGGAATGTGAAAAACAGTGAACTAGTTGACTTAAGGCCATGCCTGTGGGCAGTTGCATTAATTTAGACTTATTAATGCTGTCTTATGAACTATTTTGACCACTTTTTTGATTTTTCAGCCTTGTCTGGCTGAAAATACTTTTCATTTCACCATTGTGTGGCCCAAGGCCATGTTAAGAAAAAAATGCACATTCTTATTGAATAATTGAGCCACAAAGAAAACAGAAAGCATTTGAGCTTAGCTCAAACAGCCTGTATAGTTATATTTGCCCATCCAAATCTGAATGACTTGGTTTCTTCCACTGAACACAATGGGAGAAATTTGAATTATATCCCTCCAAGAAATTATAATGAATAGAGACAAAAGCTTTAACAAGGATGCAAAATCACATTAAAATCTCTAAAAGGTGCCTATGATTTGCAATATATTTAAATAATTCCACACGAATGTAAGCCACTATTTACTGAAAACAAAGAAAAGCAGGGATGTCTATTCAGTGAACAAATGGATTGTGTTTCATATTGCCAATAAATCAGATGATCTGGTTCACAGACACATTTGCAATTACATCTGTTCATAAATCAGACAACAAGCCTGTCACAGTGATTAACAGCCAATTTCTGGTTTGTTTTGTACACAAAACTATGGATATATTTGAATATTTGACGTTTCTTGTGTATATTTGATCATGGTCCATTCTCCTTTTCCTGTTCTAGGAAAGACATGCAGGTGACCGAATGTTAATTTTGGCACAAAGAAAAAAATCATAATCCCAATGGTCTGACTGCAAGGAGGTGATGTTCTTAAAAAACAAGTTCACTCACAGATGGTGCTCTACCAAAGACGACGTCTGAGCTTAGATGTGTTACTATGGAGACAGTCACTGAGCTCACAGGAGAAATTTCATAAGCCTCAATCAGATTCCAGCAGATCTGATGTTAAACATGTCATTGTATGAAGAGCAGATAGGGGTTATTATGATGTCATCACATCAGTGAACTTAAGCTAGGATGGTTGGGAACACCGTGCTAATCAGATTTGCACTAATATTTACATGTTAAAATTTAGCTAGTAATTTTTATATGAATATATTTAATGAATACTTTACCTCTGTAAACTGCAGGTAGGGGGAGAGAGGACAAGCCCTGACTCTGCATCTGCTGCTGGTGTTGCAATCTTCTCTTGGCCTCTAAAACTGGGTTCTCGAACTGAGTCCTGCGGTTTATGTGACTGCAATCAGAAACCAGAAACATAGACTCATTTCAAGTGGCTACTTGAAAATACGTGACCATTCAGTATATAAGCCACAGAGCAAGCTGCCTTGCTCCACTGCCTATGTAGGTGGCATTTTCACTCTACTTAGGCAGTAGCCATGCGAATGAAAGCAGCTATTCAAGAAAATCTTTGAATGTCCCATAACTGTAGACTGGTACTGAATTTCAGCAACTAGAATTGACTCGTCATCACAAAAATGTGCACAGTTTTCTGTGTATATAACATTTTTTGTTCATATGTAAATAATAAATAAGTGAACAAATAAATAATTTATAAAGCCTTGATATTTATTAAAATGAAAATTAATTGCATCAATAGTTTTTGATATTGTTTAATACAAAATGCACTAATTATTGTAATAAAATTTAATTATTTGCACCAAAAATTTGCATTCTTTTAAAAATTCAAATACAAAACAAAAAACTATATATACTGGCCAGCAGACACACAATGTCATAATATGTTAATGTCAGGTTAGATTTAGATCACCAGCATCTAAGGACAATGTTATTTTGACGTCCAATAACAACCTTAAACAACATTGACATTTGGTTGACTTTAGTTTGTGTTAAAAAGTGACCAAAATCTAACGTCAAGCCAACATCTTAAACCAACGTCATGTTGATGTCAAATACTGACATTTATTCATCAGGTATGGCAACCAATATTCCAGATCTGATAGACTTCATATTCGTAACTTCCACAAAAGGTCAAGCTGTAACATCATTAGACGTTGATATTTTGTTGTTTTAGGTCGCATTGAAAAGTAACCAATATGCAACATCTGTTCGTTGTTGGACATTGATGTCAGCCTGACGTTGAGTTCTGATGTCAACCCAATTTTTGTTTCCAAACTGAATTCAATGTTCTACAACGTTGGAGTACAATGTCAATCTCACGTCATGTTGACATGCTGTGCCTACAGGGTATATACCCACACCATGTACATACACTGAGGTTGCATGTAGAAGCGAGATATTCCATTTTAAAAACTGCTTATGAAAGTAAAGCATACATAACAGTTATGCACTTTTGAAACATGAACTGCAGTAGGGTTGGATGGTCAGGGAAAATCATCTTGGACACCCAGTTCAAAAATTGCAGATGAATGGAGACATTAATTATATGCACTATACATGAAAGCATGCATCTTGATTTAAACACCCTTTAACACATCATTTAAATCTAACAGGCTGTGGTCAATGAGCAAAACATTAGCCCAGTTAATCCTTATCTTTGTAAAGAGAGTGATGTAAAAATTAGATCAGACAGTAATGAGAGCATCTTGTGATCTAGAAGAAAAAATGGTCCTTTTGACTGTCTGTATAACACTTGCCGTCAGAATTAATTTAATATGTTTTAAAAGGCGCTGTTGAAAATGGTGCCATTTGAAAGTACAAAGACAATTAGGCCCCATTAAAAGGCATTCTTTTGAAAAGAGGTAATGCTTTTTTGCAGAGACGTGGCATTTGTAATTACAGCTTTGTGCCAAGACTACGCAAGGTCAATTTTGGAGACATTGGTTTTAGATTTCTTTTGAGGTCTAAAGCCTGAAATTGATTCAACAGATCAAAGCATAATGAGCAAATGGATTTTGTCCCTAGCACTTTATCTGAGACCAGTTCAACACTTTTCTTTTTTATAGCACACGAGGCCTTGCAAACAAGCCATGGAATCAGTTTGGGCAACACAGGCTCATTGAAAATATGTGCTTTTTTACCTATATTTTTGTATTGCTGTGTTCAGACCAGATGCGGAACACGCGGATAAATCGTGCTATTCACGCGTAAAAAGGCGCTTGAACATTTGAGTTTACTTGCTTTATTTGCGCGTCAAATTCACTTCCAAACAGATGCGGATTCGCGTGATGGGCTGGGCTTCTGTCTGCCCGGTGACTCTAGCTTCATACCCGCCGCACCATTCGCACTGTGCCAATCGCACCACAACATTCGTGTCGTGCCATTTGCACGTATCGCGCCGCAAGATGTCTATTCGCACGTTTGCATTGACTTAACATGTAAATCACTCATGCTTGAAGCTTCTTCCACGTCTGGTCTGAACACAGCATTAGACTGCAAGACTGCAGATGATGCAGAGAGCTTGGGTTCAAGTTTGGTGAAACACGGGTCCACAAATTAGATAAAAGCAATGCAAAATCAAGGAAAAACATGTGGTCCCTGTATGTTTGCTTTTTTTTGGTTTAAGTCAGTGGTTGGCGGGAGATGTGTACAATTCCTGCCTTCTCATGAACTTATACAAGGAGGATGTGTATCTGAAACATACATCCAAACATACCCTAAGTAACATGTTTCAGAATGCCAAAAATATAGGCAGCATCCTCTAGTGGATTTGTTATTTGAAACATGCAACAAAATGTACCCTGAACAATGTTTTTTAGGCATGATGTAGAATGTAGGTTAAAGCACGTATTTTCAATGAGTCTAAATTGGGTGTGGGCTTATTGTATACCAGTTGTAAAGGTGAAGTGACATCTGTATAAATTAGAAAATACACATATTACACAAATACAAATGATAAGCCTTATGCATAATGTTCTTGTTAAGTGTCTCCTCTAAAAAGGCACTAGACACAGATTTATAGTCTATTACAGTCATTTCACACCAGATGCGGCTTCTGATCTTCCCAGCTGTCATCTTCAACAACATACAAACGCACAGTTGTACAATTATTACTAAAAGATGTGCTTTTCTTCTTTTCCATTCGACAGATAAATAGAGCCTAAACAACATGTACTGTAGGTTAAAACAAATACATTGAAAGCTACATGAGCAACTGAATGCTAATGATACAGCATATAATGCATTATGAAGGAAAGACAGACAGACGGACAGATTACATTCGATTACATTAAATGTTCAAACTACAAAGTCAATGAAAAATGTGCAAATAGAGGTGAATTTGCACTAGGCAGCATGATTAATAGGGAATGCTAATATGCTGTATTTATCTCAATCACATCTTCTATGCAAGTTCCAAAAATTCCACTCAAGCTGAAAATTTGCATTAGCCAAAAAACACCCCACGAGTAATCGAGAGCCATTAAGATTGAGATTAATTCAGCAATGAGTCAAAGGATAGATAGACAAATGTAACAGAAGAACAAATGAACAGACAGACAGGCAAACAGATAGGTTGACAGACAGACAGACAGAAACTCGATCACACATGGAGAAACAGACAGAAGAAATATTCTGACAGAGAGACAGATGTATAAATATACAGAAAGACTACAGACAGACAACCAGATGGATGAACAGAGTGACAGAGAGACACATAAATAAAAAATATATATACCATTAGACCAGGGGTGGCCAACCCTGTTCCTGGAGAGCCACCTTCCTGCACGTTTTCAACCCATATCAAACACACCTGCCTTTAATTATCACGTGGTGTTCAGGTCCTAATTAATTGGTTCAGGTGTGTTTGATAAGGGTAGCAACTGAAATTTTCAGGAAGGTGGCTCTCCAGAAACAGGGTTGGCCACCCCTGCAATAGACTAACACATCGATTGATTGACTGACGGATAGACAGACAGACAAGTGGACAGACAGAAAGCTAGATAAATGGACAAATCAGCCACAATAATCAAAAAGATGAATGGACAAATAGACAAATGAATTAACAGACATAAGCCCCTTTCACACAGTGATACCGGTAAATATCCGGAAAATTTACGGAACGACTTTACCGGTATATACAAAAAAGCGCTGTTCACACAGGCGAGGACGTTACGGAAATTTTCCGGAAAAGAGCATTCACACATCTATTCCAAAATACCGGTAAATTCTGACATCATTCACCACAAATGAGCTTTAAACGGCTGCGCTTGTATTTGTAAACATTTGACTAAATTACAAACTCTTTTGATGATCAATATTGTAAACAACTTTCACTGGATCATATTCGCATGTCGAGATGTTCATAATATGTGCGTGTGCTGACGCTCACAGGCTGTTTCATGGGCACACGCAAAGCTTGAAGGTAAACAAACAACGGCTTATCATAAGCATCTTATCGATGATTATTTGCACAGTTGGCATTAAGAAGAACATATAGACGTTGTCTGACTAACTTCTAGCAGCTAAATGTGTCTGGAAAAATATTCAAAGGCTTTTATTCTCACAAACCGCGCGGACGTAAATGCGTCTGACTGTTGTGATTGGCTAAAGCAGAAGTCTTACGTCAGCACGTTCTAGACGTGCACGAGCTTATTCCGGAAATCTTCCTTCTGCGTTCACACAGCGCAGCATTCCGGCAAATTGCCGGTAATGTTACAACTTCTCTTTCCGGAAAATAGCCAGAACGAATTTACCGGTATTTTCAAAAAGGACCTGTTCACACATACAACCTTTCCGGAAAATTGCCGGTAATTTTCCGGAAAGGTCTGTATGTGTGAAAGGGGCTATAGAGATGAACAAATGGACCGAAAAATGGATACACAGACATATTGATAGACATACTAGGAGGACGAATTTGCAGACAGACTGATAGAAGGACATGATGAACATACAGATAAACTTTGGTGAATCAATTAAGTTATAAAACATTGAAAATAAGGCGACGCAGGGGCGGAGTGGGTAGCACGTTCGCCTCACAGCAAGAAGGTCGCTGGTTCGAGCCTCGGCTCAGTTGGCATTTCTGTGTGGAGTTTGCATGTCCTCCCTGCATTCGTGTGGGTCTTTGGGTGCTCCGGTTTCCCCCACAGTCCAAAGACATGCAGTACAGGTGAATTGGGTAGGCTAAATTGTCCATAGTGTGTGTGTGTGAATGAGTGTGTAAATAAATATGCAGAAAAGTAGATAGGCTGCTTCGAGCTCCAGCTGGGTCAGTTGGCTTTTCTGTGTGGAGTTTGCATGTTCTCCCCATGTTCGCGTGGGTTTTTTTTTTCCGGGTGCTCCGGCTACGCCGACAGTCCAAAGACATGTGCTTCAAGTGAACTGAATAAGCTAGGTGTATGTGTGTGAAGGAGTGTGTATAGGTGTTTGCCAGTGTTGGGTTGCAGCTGGAAGGGCATCCACTGCGTAAAACATATGCTGCATAAGTTGGCGGTTCATTCTGCTGTGGCGACCCCTGATTATTAAAGGGACTAAGCCTAAAATTAACGAATGAATGAACAGAAAGATAGATGCATCAATGGACAAACTGACCAACAGACAAACAAAAGGATGAATGAACAGACCTACAGGAGGACGAACTGACAGACAGATTGATAGAATTGATAGATGGACAGACATACTATGGGGGAAGTTATAAAACATTAATAACAATAAATAGAAGAAGTCATTACAGTGACATGCACAGCACCAGCACGATGCAGGCAGCCTGACAGAAAAGACTGTTACTACAGTATATGATTACAATTCGGTGATATGACGTGCCATAATCTCATCTGAGGACAGCAGGCATGGATGCAGTGCTGCATTTGTGATGTGCGGTTGTGTATCCACAGGATACTACAGCTGCATTATTGGCTCGAGGCTGGCTGTTCTTCTCTGTCCTGGGAGGAAGAGTAGCCAAGCAAAACCATACTATAAATAGTCCCAGCTCACCCCAGACTGTGCATTAAGCAGGAAAAATGATGGCACACACACGCAAACACACTGAATTAGGAAACAACGAAGCAGCTGTTTTTCAGCCTGGGCACGATGGACCTGCAATATATGCAATTAATACAAAGCTGAGAGAACACATAGGGATCCATTAAATGCCATTAAACTGCTAACTTGAGCGCTTGAACTTACTCAACATAGTAGGTTCCATAAATAGGGTCATCAATTTTCTCCCAGCCATAAGGAAGCTCTGAAAAACAAAACATATATAGCATTAGAACCATTAACTGTTTTATTAAATCTTGCAGCAATAGAGTATGCAGTTTTATTACCACCTTACTGTATGTATTGGTTCGTTATCTGGAAATGAAGCTATTTCTAGGCTTTGTGTATCCCCGTGACTTACTGATGTAATTAAGCGAATACTGAGGTTCACATTATTATTTGATAGATTCAGTGGGCAAATGCAGAACAACTTTTAAAATAATTGATTCATTTTATTCCTAATCGTTTTTCACAGTCTTTTACAATATCATCCAATTTGCAGGCCCCCATTCATCACCATGACATTTTAATGGCTTATATGGAATAAAAAAATGTTGCTTTTATTGAAATTAAAATATTGTGCTGTGTATCTTTTTTTCCAAACACGTTTCTGAAAATTGCAGGCTTTGTCTTTGTCCTTGCACTTTGTGCTCAGCTCCATTATGCTGTGACATTCCTGCCTTTAAAAATAACGGTTTGATTTTCAGACATGTTAATAATTATGGAAAAAAATCAGTGTGATAGTTAAAAAAAGAGTAGCATTGTTCTCTAAAAGTACGGTTCACACATCCCCATATTTGCAATAAGATATGCTAATTAAGACTGACATCTGAACAGATTGACAGATCATATATAGTGTCACACCACATATAATAACAGAAGAAATAAATCACAATTCATTAGTCACAAAGGCTGTGTCTTACTTTATTAATAATATCCAGACTAAAATATACATATAGGATATGCAAACACGCTTGAATACACACGCTCCATATAGCATGGACACCCGCTGGGCTTCTAGACGAAAGCGACAAGGAAACACGGCGCAATTACAAGCACACCCACACACACAGACCAAAATTATACATTCAGCAGCTTTGAGAAGGGTGAAATACCAGACTCTGTGTGTACATCACACACAACTTTGTAAATTGCAAGTGACAGAAACTGTGTGATGTTCTCAATCTGGCTAGCGCACACACACACATACACACACACACACTGATCAAAGCGCTGTTGGGTATTACTCTACTGCTGCGCTATGAGCTGCTAGTCATCTTATTAAAATAAAAATCCACTTGTGAAGACAACTGAGCGCACGGATCAATCTTTAGGATGAACATTCGCAGGGCGAGATGAACAAACCCTAACCACAAATATTAAATAGATGCTGTAAAAATCACAAAAATGTCAAATCATGTCACTTTTTGAGGAGAGATGAGTTCGTTTTCTAAGTGATCTTATGACAGGGGTGTCCAAACTCTACTCTGGAGGGTCATGGCCCTACATAGCTTAACTTTAATTTGTCTCAACGCCCTGTCTGGAACTTACTAGTAAAGTCTAGTAAGAGCTTGATTAACTACTTCATATGGATTTAATTATGGTAGGAGTTAAATTATGCAGGGCAATAGGCCTCCAGAAGCAGAGCTGGACATCTCTGTCTTATGATTTTGGTATTCTAGGTCAAGGCTGTCCAATGTTCCTGGAGGGCCACTGTCCTGCAGAGTTTGGCTACATGTCTAATTAATATCCTGCAATCTGAACCATCTTATCAAGATCTTCACAGAAAGAGGCAAGCAGGTTGGAGCTGATTAGAGCTAAAATATACAGGACAGTGGCCTTTTAGTAGGAGGCCTACTAGACACTCCTGCTGTAGAAAAATCCTATTGATTTACATTGAAGGAGAGACCCAAGCCATATCTAGACATGCATGTTTCAGTTTGCACCTTTACTATAAACCTTTACAGTTCTGCTTTGGTTTGGTTTTGTCCGACTTCATTTTGCAATCCCACTGCAGTTTAGTACCTCTTAAAATGAGTAAAATTACTGCTTTAGGATTACTGTGGCACCTATGCAGCGGTGACTTCCTGAATATTTTTTCATTTAGGGTCATCCCATTCGCTCCTCGGCTACCAATGAGAAGAACGTCTGGACCTCTTCTTCTGACCCTCAGTTGTCTTTGTCACAAGATAGTATAGTGGTTGGTGCTGACTTTCTAAATATATTGGTTTTGGTGTATTGTGCTAGGAATCCAATGACGCTGGTAATGAAATTAAACTTTGGTAATAGTACGGCTCGCCTGGAACCTCACCTGATGTGGTACTATTAAGTACAATACAGTTGAAAAGCACTTAAACTGACAACTTTTCCTAAAAGTGTTTTAAAATGATCATTTGCGATCACTTGAACACTGTTGGTTGGAACAAGGTCTAAAATTGTGAGGCTCTGGTTCTGTCTACATAGTCTACATAGGCTTCTCCATTAAACATTGTATAAATTTTTAATCATTACTGATTAATGACAAAGCTGTAAATGGTTTAGCTACCCAGTATATGAGCAAGCTCATGACTCATTACAGCCATTGGCCAGTTGATAATTTAGTATAAAAATTAAGTAGTGGTAGAGCTTTTTCTTGTTTACCTCCTTAACTTTGGAATTTGTTCAAAGAGCAACAAAAGAGTACTTAATTTGCTTACTGACCTAAGATGTGGACTTTATAGGACAAATTGTGAGAAAACACCAAAACAGAAGAGAAATTGTAAGTGCTATCCACTTTAATAAAAACTTTCTGCTCACTTATTCATTTAATAGAACTCATACTTCACGTGAAGGGCTGTTGGCTGATCACTGAAAGCCCTGTTAATACAAATAGACCCTACAGTAAGACTACATTTCATAGTAACCAGAAATTATTATTTTAACTTCAGCTCGAGATCTTAAAGTTGAGTAGTTTCAGTAAGTGATACTGTTTGCTAAACTATTTTCTGGGAAACACAGAATAACTAAACAATGATAAATGATGCAACTGAGGTCATACTGTAGCTGGCTAGTAATACTTCTGGATAACAAACCCAAAAATATCCTAAAGACTTGGACTTGAAACACCTACAATAGATAAGCATTTATCTTAGAGCTCCATAGAAACCATGCAGAACACTTTAGCAACTACAAAGCGACACCATAGCAACCAACCAGAAAATGAGAACAGAAAATGACCCAATTTTGTAAGCACTATTAATGGTTTTCTACTGACCCATGAACACTTGCCACCAATGGTGCAGCAAATCTGGCAAACTCTAAGCTGAGCAGATGGCATTATGCAATTTATGGGAGTCAGGTTCACAGGTGTTTACCAGTCCCTTTGGAATCTTCATTTTTACTGGCTACTCCATTGTTATTTCTTGAGGAACTAATCAGTGGCGGTTTGGCTGGTCACTGCACTGCTGGAGAGTCTCCTTTTTGTGTTTTTGACAGGAGAGTAGAGAGAAAGTTGACAGGTTGGGAACTACTGCAGGAAAAAAAAAGTGGAAGGGGATTGGAATGGACCACAGGGAAAGACTCAAACTTGGCTCCAATAGGGAAACTGTTAAAACCGTAGCTTGTCAAGTCAGTTCTAATTTAAAGCAGCTCAACTACTGTCAAGCTACAGTAAAAAGTGAAAAACCATAACTTTACATCAAATAGGGAAATCCTTTTCCAGAACAAATTCATGCACTAAACATACATTTTTTAGGTTATAATTTTCTATAGACTACTAAGTTTTGCTAAGTAACTTAAAAAGCTATAATTATCTTTAAGACTATATAATACTATACAGGCAAAGTACATTAACTATGCAAATACTAATGCTGGCAATTTAAGTATTTCTATCATGCGAAGTAAAATAATGAATATAATAAATATTTCAATCAAGCGCATGATGTGAAAACGAGTAAATTAGAGCAAGTGTTTATCGCATCTTCAGTAACTTGAAAATTGAGATGTACTTTTTTTGTTTTACACATGTTAGCCAAATATTGTGCGGGTAGATTACTTGTTTCAAAGCCCAATTTAGGCCTTAACTACATTTTGACCAAATGTGTACTCAGAAATAAAGGTACACAAGCTGTCACTGGGGTAGTACCTTTTCAAAAGTTACAAATATGTACCTAAAAGTTCCATATTAATATTTCAAGGGTACATATTAGTACCTTAAAAGTACAAAAGTGTTGCTCTTAAAATTTTTAGGTGCAAATATATACTATATACTTTTGAAGTACCAATATGGACCCTTTAAGTACAAATGTGTATCTTTTGAAAAGGTACCACACCAGTGACAGCTCTCGTTTATTTCTGAGAGTGTAGTTACTGCTCTTTTTCTTTGGACAGCAGTATACAGTAGTAGTCTAATATCATTAGATACTATTTATTAATTGAATTGAATGCACGTGTAATTATTCTACCATTAAACACAAACAAATACAGTGAATGGTTTGGCACAGGTCTATTAAATAATACAAAAAAAATCCTTTTTTATTACTAAATGTTGGAATTAACATGAACTAAGAGTAATAAATGCTCTGGATGTACTGTACTATTCGTAATTAGTTCTTCTTAAGAAATTTAGTTAAGAATAATTAATTTTAACAACCTAGCCTAATTGTAAACTGTTATCAAAACATGCTATTTAATACATTTAAAAAATGAACAGTAGTATTAACTAAAATATAGCAAAATATTTATCTGAAAATTAATCAGTGAAATAATTTAGCAAACCACGCAAACAAACTAATTCCCTAAATTGAATAAAAAGGAAACAGCATGTTTGATCACTTCCCCAATTCAATCTGGTGTAAGTACTACATCAGACAGAAATAAATTCTAGAATAGCCTGAACTGCTGTCATGGAGAAAAATATATTTTAGTTAGCGGCAATGCAACCTTCAGTTACTCCTCAAAACTGCATGCTAGTCAGGCTGTCTCTCTCTGTCTAAGTGGGCAGTGAATGGTCAGAAAAATCTGATAAGTGGACAAGACTTCATCCTGATAGTTTGACAAGCCTACCAGAAAGCACAAAGATTCTGCTGCTCTCTGATCAGTTCTCGGCCTCATTGCACGGACATTCAAGTTTATTTGTATATCGCTTTTTACAATAATTATTGTTTCAAAGCAGCTTTACAAAAGATGCACATTATTGCATTACAATCAGAAAATGTATGGAGTTGT